TCACGAACGTGAACGGTGCGGTTGAAGAAGTTCACCGGGTGATCCTTGCTTCGCAGCCATGACATGTCCAAGATCATGTCGAATTTGGTGTCCAGAATGTCAAAGGACACCGCCTCACTTGCGTCAGGGGTAAAGTACACTGGGACGCTGTCAATGCACCGGTCGATTGACTTGTGCGTGTGACTGTCCGCCAATGTGACTTGCGTAGGCTGGGGCTTCCTCCGGACGCGTGGGCCAAGGCCGGCTTGCACCATGAAGTCCAAGCTGATGTAGTTGCGAGATGCTCCGCAATCGATCAAAGCGCTGCAGGTCGCTTCTCCGATCTGAATGCGTACATATAGCAATGGTGCGTCGATGTCGTCGTACCGTTGCGTCTTGAACTCGCGGTGGATCTTCGCAATGTAGACGTGAAGGTCGACAACCTCTACTCCGGCGTCCATCAACGGAGTCGGTACTGCAGTGTGCAAGTAATCTCGCAGTTGTGCCATGAGCACATTGCAATGCGGTTTCGGCAATCGTCCGGTCGGGGGAACGGGCATCCACTGGAAGTCCGTGAACGTCAGTGGGTCGAGCACCTCAAGTCTTGACCACGACGATGAATCCCCGGCGATAGATGGCGGCGAAGTTGCCGAATCGGTTGCCAATGGTGATGAAACCGTGCATGCTGTAGATTGTTGCACGTGGAGCGATTGGTCCAGCGGTGGAGCCAAGTGGACAGCATAGTCCTCGTAAGTGTAACGAGAACCTGCGACATTCGCATCCTCCCCAGATGTGCAGGAGGGCGTTAGCAAGGCGGCCGAATCTGGCGGAGTGGAAGGTGGAGTCGCGTCACCTTCCGCGGAACTCGGTTTTCCGAGTTGAGGCGGGGTCGCACATCCTCCTTGCCCTGATCCTGGCACAGGGAGGTCTTGTGCTTGGTGCTGTTGCACCAATAGCGGCTGCCGTAGCGGCCGCGGACCTTGTACTCCGCCTCGGTCAAGCCGAACTTGACCCATGGAACTTGTATTGGCTGTCCATTTCCGACCTGCGATGCGGATTTCACCTTCCCATTGTTGCGGGACTTGTTGTTGCTTTGCGGCTGGACAGCAGCCACCTGATCTCCGTCACTTGATGCTGGAGTGGCTGTTGGGTTATCTCCACTGTCCGACTGGACTGCAGGGAAGTGCTGCTGTCGCGGACCAGTTCGTACCTTCTCCACATAGGTGGGCTGCCATGTTGATTTCTCGTGTGCAGCTGACCTGTTGGTCTTGATGATATCCCTCGCCTTGTCAATGATCTCAGCGAAGGTTGAGTGCTTCTCGCGATCACCAAGAGTCTGGCTCAATGCCGCACAGGACCTGTTGTAGAACTCACGGCGTAGATGCGTGAATGCCAATTCCAGATTGGGCACCGCCGCAATCTTTTGCCACTCCGTGAGCCAATCCTGTGTTGCAGTGTTACCCTGTGACATGGTGAACAGACGGTTGATGGCGAGTGTCGGCGCGTCGTCGACGATGAACCGCTTCTTCCACAGCCGTGTCAGTTCCTCCCATGTGATTTTGTCCTTCAAGTCCGGTACGTTGACGCCGTGAGAGTTTGCCAGGTGGCTCAACCAGGTCTGGCATACGCCCTTTGAGTTCATGAACAGGGCGCCGATGTACGCATGCTTGGTGACAGGCAGAATCCTGAGTTGCGTCGTGAATGCCTCCCACCAGAGGACCGGATCCTGCTGCGTGTAGTCGTCGAACTTGTCCAATTGGAAAGTTGGCATCTTGTACATCTTCGGATTGTCATCTGCGTTCGTCGACTGCAACTGTTGGACCTCGGTCTTCAAGGTATGCAGCTGACTGCTGATGGTGGTCGGCGCAGCGAAGGTGTTGATGTCGCCGAGCATTTCCACTACGTGGTCAACGCGTTCCTCCAGTTGGCGACTAGAGGATGCACTGCTGGAAGCCCCAGCAGCTGGTCCTGGTACAGCCTGTTCCAGGTCCAGCAATCGGGCATTGAGTGCCCGAGTTGCATCCTGGTGGCTCTGCACTGTATGGTGGAGCTTTGCCAACTCCTGATGCTGTTGCGTCAGGTTCTGGTACTGTTTCTCCAACTCGGACCATTGGTAGTTGCAAGCATACAACAACCGTGTCACGAGTTTGGAGAGAAACTCCTTATGCTGCTCTTCCGGTGTTCCGTCGTCGTCGTTTGGTTCAAAGTGCCAGAACTTGAGTTTTTCGATGCTTGTGGCTTCATGCTGCTGCAGCAGATCCTGGGCTTCCTTGCGGCGAGGCTGGGCATCTGCGTCTGCTTCGGCCTGTAGCCGCAGCTTCTCTGCTGTTGCCGCCTATTCAGCCTTTAGCTTGGCAGCCTTGACTGCCAGCTGGCGTTGTTCCTCAGCCTCGATTGCAACGAGCTGAGCCTGGAAGCGCTTTTTGTAGTCGGCAATGGGCTCATTGACCAGTTGGCCCGGCAGGCCCGTCATGTTGCTGACGTGGCACTGTGTCTGACGTGGCACTGCTTACGTGGCACTGTTTGACGTGGCACTGCTGATGTGGCACTGCTTACGTGGCACTGTGTCTGCCGTGGCACTGCTTACGTGGCACTGTTTCTGACGTGGCACTGTTTCTGATGTGGCACTGCTGATGTGGCACTGCTGATGTGGCACTGCTTACGTGGCACTGTGTCTGACGTGGCACTGCTGACATGGCACTGCTTACGTGGCACTGTGTCTGACGTGGCACTGCTTACTTGGCACTGTACCAATCCGGAAATGCATGCAAAGGGTGGGTGGGAGGGAAAAACGCAGGTAGGAAACCAACCCAACAATACTTCCCTCCGGCCCTAATCAACAGATAAAATAAAATAAAAAAATAAAAGAGGACTACTTCCTTTTTTTTTTCTTTTTTTTTTTTGTATATCTGTCGATCTATTATGAGTAGGACATGTCAGAAGAGTATTATGAACGAGATCTAGGCTAGGTTCCGCAAAGTTTCGGCTTTTACAAACTGCGATCTTGAAAAAAAAAATTGCGAGATGGAGTAAAGATGCGATTTTCAGAAGAGAACGAAATCCAGTTTCTGAGAATCTGCAACCTCCGAATATGCCTAACGCAATATTGGTAGGCTTCGCAAGATCGGTTTTCAAAAAAAAACTGTGCGAGATAGAATGGAAATTCGATTTTCAGAAAAGAATAATTTCAGTTTCCGAGAATATGACCACTTCTATCGTTATCCCAATATGCTTAGAGAACGAAAATACTAACTTCAGAAATTTCAGCTATGTATGCGAAATATCAGAGAAACGAAATGCTACTATCGGGAATTTTCAGACAAAACGAAATGCGATTTATCAGAAACTTTCAGATATTTGCTACGTAAAAACGAACAACTAATATCAGAAATTTTCAGGTAAAACGAAATGCGAATATCAGAAATTTCAGATAGTTGTTGCGAGAAAAAAAAAAAATTCAGAGATTTGACGA